CGTCGAAACTCCAATATGGTACGAAATTGCGAACCTTGCTTCTAATTGTATAAATCTTTTTGTTCATACACAATTCTACATAAACAAAAAATTTTAGTGGGTGTTGATATAATCAATAAATGCTTACCTTTAACTTGTTCAAATGATTCTTCCAGTAAAGATGGAAACCCTCATATGCAAGTGGAAGCAAAGTATGTAATGCAAGAATGCATAGTGTTATTCCCTGTGAAGAAGAAGAAAACTATCTTCAGTGGGCTGCTAAATTCATAGCTACAAGGTCAGAGCTAACAGTATACAATAAATTAAAACACTTGGATTGAGACAAAGTTTCTCATAAATAACAGCTTGGAGACCAAATCTTATCATAGTCGATCACATTCTACCATGATCTTCCATGTCGTCTTTTAAGAAACAAAATTATGTAATTATTTGTATCACATAATAAAAGAAAATACTAAGAATTAACCTTGACATGTATATGCATGATAGATAAGTTGGTATCGGATGGATATTGGGGACATCTTGTCCAACAAAGCATACCTTGTCTAATAAACAAATGAACAACAAATGATCCACATAAGCACAGACACCCATGCCATGGGATGCAGCATACCATGCCAAAGGTGATAAGCATGGGGGTGCCATCAATAAGGGAAGCCATACAAAGTAATAGCATATTTTGTAATAATAATGGATTGGTTGTGCAGCCATTCACCCCCTTGTTAAGCATGTCATGCCGTGATGATAAAATTATGTGTTGTGTGAAGCTTGTGCCCCTATATTAGATAGATAAAAATGATAGACCATGATTTTGACTTGGTGTCTGTCATACTGTGTTGACATGATACCTGCATGAAGACCTATGGTGTGCCAATTGTGTGTGGACACATCATACTGCTAGAACGATGTGGAATGAGACTGAAATTGTTTGAGAATAAAAAGATGGAAGAATAGTTAAATTGAAGCAATAGAAGTAAAAGAAATACACGTTAACCATTAATCTATTTGCTACAAATAATCCCTTTCTTATTCAAGGAGTAAACAGGAAAAACAGTATATGACTCACTGTCAATAATAATGGTGTAAATTATTAACATTTTCTCATCATTTCCAGAACCTTCACTTTTAGATATTTCCCTTCAAATACTAAATTAGTTTAGACGCATTGAGTCAACTTGCAAAAAATATTTATGTAACACCCTAATTAATCCCACATTAGAAGCGAGCAAAGACTAAGATTAACTTATAAGGATCTGAGAAGTGTACTTCTATAGACTTAGTTTAAACATTTTTAGACAATGGTTCAGACTTAACGAAGTTGACAAGCCAGTTGTCTCATCAAGTTAGGTCGTGATAATTGATATCAGAGCTAACCAAGTATTGCGGCATAGTGAAGGGCTCAAGTAGGAAAGGACTACCCATGTACGAAGTAAGATTACACATCAAGGAGTGAAGTGATCACTGGGCTATGCCTCACATGCACCGTGCTATGCTGGGCCTTGACCAAAATGTTAAGCCCTTAAGTGGAGGAGACTGTAACACCCCAATTAGTCTCACATTGGAAGCGAGCTAAGACTAAGATTGACTTATAAGAGTATGATGGGTGTACTACTATAAATTTCAGCTTAAATATTTTGAGCTAGCGGTTCATATTCAACAAAGTTGACAAGCTAGTTATCCCATTAGGTTGGATCGTGACAATTTATATTTAGGTCCTTTAACTATTCTTTCAAACGTCTTATAGGAAACACCAAAGTATTCTTTTGAACTCATGTCATTCTAACTTTTGGACTATGATATTAATTGGAATCCACTGCTTTTAAATTATTTGTCCTCTTTTCCACTGTAACCAGTGGCATATGCTGGTATGTTACATGCCAATTGGTTTAAGGGCATGCTAGCCTGGTTCTTTTGTTGGCATTGAACCATGGCAATGTGTCATTACTGTGCTGACATGCCAACACCCCTTTCCTTGATAAGAACCCAAATTATCAGTTCCCTAGAATATGCTTTAAATAAGAAAGAGGGAAAGAACATGTTAGAATGTCAAATTGTCATTCAAAAAGATCTCTGACATTAAATTAGTGTGAGGTAAAGCATACATGTCTAATAGCCAAATCATGGTGAAAGAGATGATGGATAATCACGTTCATATTATACAAAGAAAAGTTCAACCATTCCAAATTTTCACTATTCGACTATAGCAAACTATATCAGCTGAGAACTTCACCAATGTTAGTAATTATCGGAATAGTCATGAAACAAATCAGACAATGATGCCAGTTCAACATTAGCCTACGAGGTAAAAAAAAAAGTCAGTGGTTCAATAATGAGCCCCTTTAAATGGTTTAACTTCTGCCCAATGGAATCTACCTCATAAGTGAGTGATTGGCCACTGGTTAAGTAAGGCAGCTGTCCAAGGAAAAAGTTCTCTCTGTCCTCGCAAGAATAGTGGCCATACTTTGCACACCATAGAGGTTTCTGCAAATTGATAGTACAAATTATCCATCGAAATTATCAACCAAGAATAAGTAGAATATCATATTAGCGGACAATTAACTGTCAAGATTAAGCAAGGGCCTATTAGCATGCTCAAAATATCATAGATCTCACAGAAAGTTGCTATTTTTCTATGTCGTGTAGAACATCCGATCAGAACAAAACAGGAGAAAAGATTCACATGGAAGACAGAACTCACAACTAACCTCGAGAAAGTTGAGTATAATTAAGGCAAGAAGATTAAGTGACCATAGAAAATCCAAGCGAATGTAGACAAAATAGAACTTTGCAGCCTTTTCGAATCTTGTATCATTTAGAATCTCCTCGGGAAGACCAATACCATCTTCTGCCTGTAAGAGGAAAAATGTGAATACTAACAATTACGGCAGATCAAACTGCTAGTGGAAAGAACATGCATCTTACAAATAATTCCTAAAGTCAGATTTTCCCAGTATCAGAGTGGGCAAACAACTTGGTATTTGCAATAAACAGATCAACAACAATTCATAGAATAATGGTATTACAAGACAACAGAAAGAAAACTTAGTATTAACATTTCAGTGCAATTTTCAGATGATGCAGAGCCAAATTTGCTGCAACAGCACTGAAGCCAAGAAAATTGATTGCATGCGGTCCAGGGTTATAGGTTTGGGATCAAATTTAACTATGGTATCTGAAACTGGGAAGAATCCGATAGCATCAGCATAATAGGACCAACCAACAAATACTTCAAAAATAAAAGTAATAAGAGAAGAGAAAAGAAAATGGTTGAGAGAATATTATACTGATGGAGCGAAAGAAAATCACAGTTAGGGGTTTGTTTGTTTGTTTACTTGTTTATCTCCCCCTCTTCCCTCTCTTCTCCTCTTTTCAGTCCTCTTATCACTTCTTCCTCTTTTTTCTCATCTATGTTCATATTTCTTCAACTTTCGGGACTTTTGACCACAGGAGGACAACTGTAGCTAAATCAGTCAAAGATCAGCACAAAATCATCAACCTCTTCTAGAAAGGATCAGCCTAATTCCAGCAAATTCTTGGGCAATCCACCGAGAAGACCAAGGGAACCGGATCACTAGACTAGACTGGACTCAGATTGGATCAATACAGACCAATCCAGAAAATGTGATATAATCTGATGCATTTCGTTGGCAACAGGGTTTAAGTTAACAGCATCTCCAACATCACTTTGTAGTATCAGAAATTGTTTAATGGTTTCAGGGAAAACATCACATACTGGGGGCATTGTGGCTCACCATTGTCAGTTAAGTAATATCTTGACAAACATTAATATTGATTTATCTTTGGTTTCACATATTTTCCTGGTATCTTGCCATCCATTTTCAGTTAAAAGATATTAGAGTGATTAAGTAAGAAACTAATGAGGGACATTCATATACAACTCAAGGAAGCTGCATGTCTTTAGTTTTGTTTTCATTTTTTCTTTTTTTCCAAGAAGCCCCATAGGCCATTCAAAGTTTGAAACCACTTGAACATGAATAAGCAGTACAATCTGAGACAATTCAGAAAGCAGAGAACTTTTTCATAATTTACATCAGTGAAAAATCTAAAACTAACCTATTTCATATTAAAACAAAAAATCTCTACAGCATGCTTCATAAGTGACGGAGCTTATTTGCAAAAATGAGTATAAATATTTTAAGTATATCAAAGCTGCAAAAAAAAAAAGAATAAAATTGAGTTGAAGGAAAACCTTCTGATTTAGTCTTAAGCCCATTACTAGTACCTTCACAAATGAATTTGATATGGATATTCAAATTTTTTACTCTAGCCATCAGTACAACTGTTGAAGATCCATAATACGATAACAACCTTGACATCTAATGAATGTCAACATTGAATATCCAAATTGAATTTGAAGGGAATACTAGATAATTTCAATAGCTTGCAAAAGCAATGGAGACATGAGAAAAGTAAAAGGAAGAGTGTGCTGAAACTTAATCAAGAAAACACCAATTGAGCTAGTATTGATCACTCACACCGAAGCTATATTATTGAACACTGGATAATTCAGATCTAGATTGCAGCGGGAGCCCTATGCACAATTAATTAATCTAGATTGCCACAATCTAAGGTGGCAGTTTAGCTCTGCAACTCTTGCAATTTCTTGTGCTGCAAGAGCTGAAGTAAGGTATAGAGTTGTTCAAATTAATTAAGCCAACAAGCCCGCAAAGAGGGATCATCCGCCATAGAAATGAGAAAATGGACAGCTTGTGCGTGATAGGGATCAAATAACTAGTCCTCTAATTAGTGATGGCGATGCTCTGCCATCCAAATTCCAAGATAAGGGACGGCAGCTATTCAAATAGCTTTTTGAACATTCTTTGCAAGAAAGAATGATATCCAGAATTCACAACTTAACAAGTAGGATCAGATCCCCTTCTCGTTTGCATTGTCCAATCACAATATATCAAAACATTTGAGTCGAACCACCGTAATGAAATGAAAATCCCGTTGCAACGGCTTCGACTTCATCAGCGATATGACAGAAGATGATATGGGCTGGTAAATTTCAGAGAGTAAATTCCACCTCGACAGCTGAAGTAGGATCTTACTAATCAATTTTGCCATGAAAAGAAATCCTATCCACTGCATCATTTGCGTGCCATTCGTTCGAGAAGATGGAAATTAAATCGACAGTTACGAGAATGCATTGAGACAGATTAAACGAGGTATGATGAAAAGGAGAGAAGGAAGGAAGAACCAGATCAACGAGAGCTGCGGCCTTCTGGTAGTTGTTTCCGTAAGTTATGGCGTCGGACCTCCGCGGAACGGACTTCCGCCTTTGGTAGGCGGCACCTCGCCATCCGCCGGCGCCGCTGCTGCTGCTGCCCTCTCCCGCGATCAAAGGGGTCTGCATCTCCCTCTTCTCCCTCTCTCTCACCAACAGTACCACAGCAAGCGGAGATCCGTCGGGACCGAGTTCGAGAAAACAGCGCCCTCGGAAAAGATGAATAGATATAGAAATTGCACCTTGCCGACGTCCAACGAAATTCCAAAGAAGCCCATCGGAAATCCGATTTCCGACTCTCTCTCTCTCTCACGATTCACTCCTCTCCGCAGATCCAGCCGTTCCATTTCAGCGGGACCCACCATATCGTGCCATGTACGGTGGAGATCCGAGAGTGGGAGGAGAGGAGATCCGAACGTCGTCACGTGAGGGGGACAAGGGAAGTGGGGACGTCGTGGGGCCGCACGCGGCCTCCGCCCGCGTGTCTCGAGGGGTTTTGATGCGTTTCTGCAATTCTGCGGCGTCGGGTCGACGAGGCGATCTTAAACGGACGGCTATCGAGCTCGCGCATAGATTTAAAATGTGCGGGAGCTTGACATCCGTCCCCGTGACGTGTCCCCCTCCAAACGGACGAGGACAAGGCAACTCGATTTAATGAGATGAGATGGCCGACTTCACCCTGGAGGGGACCAAAGCACGACGCGTGCTTCACGCTCAATCCATTCGGTAATACGAATCGTAAATAGGTACGGTGTTGACGTCGCGTTGGCGAACGGATCAAAATGGAAGTGATGAGCTACTGGTGTTTGACGAAATGGTAGAATGCGATGGGGATGGAGAAGACATGACGAGACATTACATTTGGATAAGACGCAGCAAATGTGTGGATGAATGTGTATGAAAGACATGAGATTTCGAAGTCATTTGAAAGTGTGAGAGCGATTGGTGACTAACATATCATGCAACTTGCTACCGAATATAAAATTACACTCTCTTGGAAGGAACCACTTTGATCTTCATATAAAATATATGAAACAATTGGTGAGGGAAAAGTCAACTGCCGGCATCAGAGTATATCTTATTATTGATTTTGTAGTTCCTTCGACATGGAGTGTAATCGGTAGACTTTTTGTTTATGGAAGACAGTAAACAAAGTTGGAAAACCTGCAATCTGCCGACAGAAGCAGTCCTGTTCACTGTATTCGGCTTGTCATTCTGTACTAGGGTTCATCATTCGGAGTTGCTCTCTTTGGTGTTTTTCGTATGTGGACCACGCATATATATATATATATATATATATATATATATATATATATATATATATACCTTTTTACAACGGATTCCATATAATTGGGACATTAATTATAGATTTATCAAGTTAAATAATCAATTATCCTATCGAGTTAAAATATTATTTGTTTCTCCATTTTTGTCCTCACGTTTATCATCAATTGCATCAAAAATTATAATGTTTCATTGGCATCGTTCTCGCTCCTTCAAAACTTAAATTAATATGAGTTTCAGATAATTTGATTATATTTTAAAAAAAATTATATCATATAACACACCCGACGAGTCTCTTTATAATAAACTTTGAATATTATTATTTTTATAATAGGATTGGTTATAAAGAAAAGATGCATCTCTTTTGGAGTTAATTGTGAACCTGAGATATAGTAACATCTGATTTGTTCAATTGTGTACTTAGGTATTGGCCATGAAATGCTGAGGTGTTGACCACCACACATTGAGATGCTAATCTCGTTACACTCATGTGTTAGTTATGGACATCAAAGTGTCAACTATGTGGTACTAAGATATCAACTACACATATTGAGGTCACTCATGCGACACCAAAGTGTCAACTATATAGTATTGAGATATAGTGTATTGAGGTATCGTTCACATGACACCGATATGTCCATTGCATGATATTAAGATAATGATTATAGCATGTTAGGGTATCGTCTACATGACACTAAGATGGCACTTATGTGGTGTTGAAATATCAATTATAGCAGGTTGAGATGCCAATCACATGGCACCCATGTATTGGCCACGTGACACTAAGGTGTTGTTTATCTTGCACTAAAGTATTAGCCATAATGTGTTGAGGTGCTGATCATATAACACCTAAGTATCAACTACATGACATTGAGATGATAATCATATGACACTAAGGTATTGACCACATAATATCGAGATATGGCTAAAGTGTCAATTACATAACCTGTTAAAATTGGATTTTAAATTAAGTCAACCTAAAATACTTATATACTAAAGAGATATAAAAGAATAATTAAGATATGAAAGATGTTAATTGGTTGGTCAGTAAAAGATAAATGATTCAATCTCATCAAATTAATAAATTATCTCAAAAGATCAGCACATAACAATGACGAGGATGTCAGGACCAAATATATACATTACTTGTACTACGAATCCTTGTATATCTATTGGTGAGGAAGAATGTGTGTTTTACTCACTCTAGAAAAAAAAAGAGAAATCTCATTTCACATCCTAGATGTTTTTTCATTTCTATCATCCAGAAGCTAAACAAGTCGATTTAGAATATGTTAGCAAAAACCCTCTATTATGTCACTATAATCCATATCATCAAATTTATAATTTTTATGACATATTATAATTATTCAATATATCAAATTTGAAAGTTGAGTATTTGAACTTATCCTAAGTCGTGTGTCAATAGATGTAAGATTTTAAAGAGGATCCTATAAAAATAATATGGGGAGTATACCCGATAAAAATTTCTACGATGTTTGAATTAGTGGTACGGACTTAAGATGCAGGATAATTAAGTGGATAGTTATTATATAGAGATAATAATAAATAATTATTAATTATTATTCGATCGTGAGAACTATTGAATTATCAAGCATCACAACTAGGTTTATGTTAAAGAAGCGAATGAGTCGACTAATGTATTGAGATAGTTGGTGTCAAATGTGGTATCGAGGCGGTCCGACATGAGTATGACATTCAACAATCGTATCAAGTTAACAAGAAATCTAACGATATATGATATGCAATCGAATTATCTAATTGTGAGATCCTTATCAATACTTCAAGAGATCCACACATTTTCATCTTTTTCCTATCTTTCTTTCTCCGCTTCATACTTTCTCCTTTACCAATTAGTGTTAAGCATAATGATTAATAGTTTGTAATATGGAGTACCTTCATGTATCCCACCATCACAATTAGATTTAATGTTGGACTTCCATCGAACTAAGAAAACCCAAATGACTTCAGTGGACTTCCATCGAAATAATTCATAGAATTAATTTTCACCTCCATAAAAGATGATTCTTCTTTTGACGACATGATTACAATATTCTAAAAGGATATAATTCTCCTGAGCCCGGCCCATAGCGTCAGACCGATGGTCCACTCGACCGTTCGATTAAACCCGGTCCAACCGCGCCCCAAACCCTAAGCGACTACCAACCATATAACAGTGGCCTCGCTAGGGTTTCCATTCCCAGGAGTTGAGGGAGGCGGCGAGGAGGAAGGAAGAGAAGATGGTGAAGTTTCTGAAGCCGAACAAGGCGGTGATCATCCTGCAGGGGCGGTTCGCCGGGCGAAAGGCGGTGATCGTGCGGGCCTTCGACGACGGCACGCGGGAGCGGCCCTACGGGCACTGCCTGGTGGCCGGCATCGCCAAGTACCCGAAGAAAGTTATCCGCAAGGACTCAGCGAAGAAGACGGCCAAGAAGTCGCGGGTGAAGTCGTTCCTGAAGCTGGTGAACTACAGCCATATCATGCCCACCCGCTACACCCTCGACGTCGACCTCAAGGATGTCGTCACCATCGATTCCCTCCAGTCCCGCGACAAGAAGGTCTCCGCTTGCAAGGAGACCAAGTCTCGCCTTGAGGAGCGCTTCAAGACCGGCAAGAATAGATGGTTCTTCACTAAGCTCAGGTTCTAATCTATAGAAGCCTTCGCTATTTAGTTCCATCGGTAATGCCGCTAATGTTACTGCAATTTTCCCCATCAAATGTGAGACAGTTGTGGACCTGCTGAGACTCTATATTCTAGTATTTCGATTTTGATGGCACTTCATTTCTCGTTTATTAGTATCATGATTTATCATAAGATGGATGTGTCGGATGCTTCAAGCTAATCATGTTTACATGTGTTTCTCACCTTTGCATGATCATGCTGCAGTAACTCTGAAATCTTGTAATGCTTGTCTGTGATGATGTTGTGTTAGGCTAATTTGATATACGGAAGGTGTAGTTTTGATCTCTGTTACCTGTTGGTATCTATGAGGGTTTCAGAATTTGAGTACACCTGCAATTTTCTAATTGTTTTTTGGAATTCACATGGAATTTCTACTGAAACATGTCAGCTTAGAAATTCCTGTTGGATTTAGTAATCTGATGGATGATGGCTTAAAAATTCCATGACAAACATAAGATATGCACAAAATTTTCTAATCTGACGCAAAACAGATTGGAATCTAGCAAAATATATGTTGGGACTTGGAAAAATGCAGCCTGATCCAAAATGGAAATTCCTGTTAGAACTTGGTTCCCCGCTTAGAACCCTGGGAGTTGTATGTGATTCGTCGTCTTCTCTCCCCTGCCAAATGGGACCTTATGCATTTCGGGTCTTCAAAGGTAGACCTTGGTATTGTGATTTGTGTCTGAAACTTTTTTGTTGCTACAAAAGGATCCTTCTGCTTAGGGGTCAATTAGCAAATACGCTTCCGATATTGTGTTTTAGAGCTTTTTATGATAGGTTATATAATGTCAATACTTGATTTATGTGACATGTAGTCGCTCTTATATACTTTTTCTTTTTGTGAAATCATGCACAAAATTCTTGAAAAGAATATGATTTTGATATAATATTCTCATCTGTGGTTGAATTCCCTCTTATTTTGTTCTTTGATTTGTTGTGGAAATATGCTTGGAAAGAAATATGATTTTGATATAATCTTTTCCTATCCGATGTTGTTGTTAACCCTTGTACCATATAGTATCATTGGCTGGGTTTCTATATAAGCTTTTAAGTAGCGGGGGTGGGTAAGGGATTTGTGTGTAGGATAACTTTGTTGAATCTGAATCATTGTCTAAAAATGCTTAACTTGAAAGTTAATAGTATTACATCTACTAGACTCTTGTAAACCAATCTTAGTCTTAGTTCACTTTCGATAAGATGTGAGACTAAACCAAAGTGATATAGTCTCTCCACTTGCTTGATGTTCTGGTCTAACCTAGTGATGATTTCATGTCGTGATGTACTCTTTGACCCTGTCCGTGGAGTCCCTCACAATGCCCTAATACTAGATCGGTTTTGATATCAATTGTCACAACTTGACATGATGAGATAATTGGTTTATTAAGAACTTGAACCATTGACTCAAAATGTTTAAACTGAAGTTAACAATAATACATCTTTTAGATTTTTATAAATCAAATCTTAGTCGTGACACAGTTTTGATGTACTAAATGGGGTGTAAAAGTGTGGCTGAAAGTTCTAAGTCAAATAAATAATACTATGTTCAACATCTAGTAACAATGTTAGCAGGTTGGCAAAATCAAATGTTGCTTGTAACTGAAATTTGGTTACAATTGGCTCAGTATATTGTTTGATTAATTTGGCTTGGGAACTCCATGCTGAATGTGTTATTTACTGTAAACCCTTGAGTGGAATAATAGGTTTCTAGTGCTGTGTTATGGTCCTTTTGATGAGCAAGCATGGTAGTAGATTATTGGCTTGGGAACTCCATGGTAGTATATTGTTTGATTAATTTGGCTTGGGAACTCCATGCTGAATGTGTAATTTACTGTAAACCCTTGAGTGGAATAATAGGTTTTTAGTGCTGTGTTATGGTCCATTTGATGAGCAAGCATGGTGGTAGATTATTGGCGTCTAACTATAGGTCCACCCTGACGAAATCGTTTGATTTGGATTAGCTAATCTTGGTTATAAAGAACCTGGCTTTTTTATGTGACATTCATACTAGTGAGGGACAGATGGTATGTGGCTTGCGCGGTCATGTTGAAGGCACCAAGCAAGAGAAACTATATGTTGCCATATGAAGGGTGCACATACTATTTTTTTGTTTCTTCTGTGGTGGAGACTAGATAATGGTTTATTGAGGATGTCCATTTGTCTGGTTATCTATGGTTTAGTAATGCTTTATTGGCGTCTAACTATAGGTCCAGCTGTGCTCGAGATCTTTTTTCTTTTTTATGTTGATAGCGGTAGGGGTTTAGACTCGTATTGGGAAACTATTCTTGAAACCTAGAAACCGAGCAGAGGGGTAGATAAAAAGAGTAATGGTTAGCAATTCTTGCTTGATTTAGGATACGCGATGCCTCCTAGCATATTCTGTTGTCGATTGTTTTGGTAGGAAAATCTACATTCGAAATGCATGAAGCTCAAACCAATAATAGTGTGTTTGATTCCGAATACCAATTACAACCATCTTCTCCCAAAATTATTTGCGGCGTCACGAAAAACCCATCTATGCCACATTTGGTTGCGCAACTTGCTTCATCGGTTAGGATGTGCCAGTGAGTTGGGTTGGGGGGGAATCAAGCATTCGAGAGGCTTATTGGATCTCCTGAAGAATTCATCTATGCTGTATGAGAGGCTATCGTCCCCTGGGCGGCGGGGCCCCCATGCACCCGCTCTCGGAAAGAAACCAAACCAAAAACACTTGAGATTGTGCAAAGGGAGTAAGGACAACACGAGAGCCAAAAAGCCGGAGACACCTAAAAAAACGAGAACAAGAAGCACAACTTCGAGCGGGCAATGGCGGACGCATCCTCCTGCCTCCTTGTTTGCGCCCCCGCCCTCCATTTCTTCGGATCAACACGGCTCGTTCCGCTTCCCGCAGCCTTCACTCGGAATCGCTCTCCATTATTCCCTTCAACCCCCTTTGCTTCTGTAAACAGGAGCCCATTTTGTAGTCGTGAGATCACCCACCCAAGGAGAGGGGAAAAAGAAGACTACTCGACACCATTACCCAATCCATCACCACAACCACCACCACCACCACCACAGCAGCTCTAACTTGATTTCATCAAGTGTCTTTCATGATCTACTACCAGCTAAGCTTTGCTTTCTTTAAGAGAGTGATATAATGCAACATCGAAAAAGGCCTATTTGATTCTCTCTTCCGTCACTATTTCTAACATGAAAAAGTACGAGTAATAATGTAGAATGTCAATTAAAATAGGAAAAGTAAGTTCGAAAGAATACCTTTCTCACACGCATCTTTTCCTTTACTTCATACCTTCCCCTCGTCAAGTCCGACAGCCACATCCCCGGAAAGCAATACTGCACCCACCCACCCAACAATTACACCACGGTAGAATAACTTAAGATGAATAGGACTCGTCGTCGTTTGTACCTGGAGAGACCTGTCGATGTTCTTGGCCCGTTTCTTGGGCCTCTGGGGAAGCTTCGTCCCCTTCATCGCCAAGAAGTCGTCCTCTTTCTCCTTCCTGGAGAGGGAGACGTAGATCCGCGGCCACATGAAACGGTCCAGACTCGGCTTCTCCGTCGCGGCGGCGCCGCCGGCTTCCGCATCCAGATTCGCCTTCGCCGGTGGGTCTTGCGGCAAGCGCTTTTCGGATCGTGGTGCACCTCCCGATCGCTCCTCCACGGCCCTGGTCATTGCAAGTTGCAAGAAGATGAAGGAAACCAAAAAAGAGGGATCTTGACAGCAGAGGGAGGTGGGTAGGTGCGGCGAACAAAACTGGTGGTGGAGGGGTCTTTTACTTTGATGCCCACTTCAGATAAGAAAGAATAGGAAAGAGAGGCTTTGCTGATCTTGACCGCAGAAAGGAGGTTGAACACAAAACCAGAAAAAGGAGAGGGTACTTGTCACAGAAAGCTCATGGACGACAACCAAGAACACAAATCCAAATGGAAGAAATCAGTGGCTATTCTCTCGTCAGTAAACGTAGGGTGGAAGATGAGGAATGGCAGCGGAGGGATGAAAAAGAAAGCTTTTCTTTTACTGTGTCCCCACCAACACATCACGCAGTTCTGATGCGCAAGAGCGACAAGGAAACGCTGCGTGAAACCTTGAAGAAGAAGAAGAAGAAGGATATGGGGGGGTCTCGCTTACCGCCTGTTGGCAAGAGATGCCGTTGCAGCACGGACGGGCGTGGACGGCCTGAGGTAACCCACTTTGGAGTACGGCCCACAGGGCGGTGGCATAGCCGCCGCCGCCGCTGCCGCTGCACGGCCCTCCGTTCTCGGTCCCCGCGACCGCTTCTTGTGCCCCCACCGGAGGAGAACGTCGCCGCCTCCGCCGTGGCCTACCCCGTCGATGTGTTGGTGGTTCTCAACTGTCGCTGGTCCGGCGGAGGTGAATGGAAATAACGAGCCTGAAGTGAGGAGCGGTCCGGCGTCAGACTGCGCCTGGTAGGAGATGTGCGGCAAATGGTGGTCTCTCGTCGGTGACGGGTTGGCCGACCTGGAGGCGGATCTCGACCTCGAGGATTTGGCTTCCGAGGGGGAATGGTTTGCGATTCTGCCAGCTTCATCGGCGTCGTCTTCCTTGGAGGTTCTCAAGCTGTGCTTCTTTCCATTGCCGAGGGGAAGGACATCCGGGCTGCTTACTCTCTGGTACCTGAGATGCAGAAAGACGAAGAGGTTAAGGGATGCAATTTAAACCCAATACATCAACAAACCTTAAAGATCTACGCTGGTAACATACAACTCCCATAGATAGCATGAGAAGAAGACGACGATCGTCCACAGGGAGAAGGAAACCAAGTATAGATCCGTCGATTGCAAATCTGTTGAAAGCAAAAGAGTTGGTTCTTTTTCGCTCAAATCAATGGAGGCGTCGATTGATTCCTTGAGAAAATAGTTGCAACACATCCTTCGAACTCGATTGAGAACAGAAGCAGGGGAAAACGAAGACTAATCTACAAGGCACATCTTCTTACAAACTAAGACGTTACACTGAAGATTTTTCCTTGACTGAATATAAGAAGAGAAGAGCAGCGCGACATGAAGCAGCAGATGACGGTGCTCGCAGTTTCTAGGCAGCGCAACAAGTGAAAAGCACGGAACCAACTCAAATCCAAAGAAAGAAGCAAACTCGTGCCATTTCTCTGCGAAAGACAACCAGAACACTAAAACCGCGCTACATCGATCAGAAACCACAAAAATCTACAATGAGATGGGCCGACTCATCCAAACAGCGCAAAAAAAAGCAAAAGAGGAAGAAAAGGTGGAACATTTGGCGATCCATAATGAAAACCTCGCGGTTTTTTCGACCGCAAAGCCCACTACGGGCTATGAGAGCGCCCTAAGAACCAGCAGAGGACATCGGAGGTCCGACAAAATATACATGGAAAGCAAAACCCCACCCCCCATTTGGAGAAACGCTCCCCCACATCCATGGCATCCGCCTCCGACCGAACATCTAGTCAATCAAAAGGCAGAAGATGACATCGGTCCCAAGCAACAAGGCCTCCGAAGAACAAGAGCAAAGAAGCTTGCCAGTTGGGACCCATCAGACGAACACGGAAGCAGAGGGATGCAGACAGAGATCGCAGCGAACCTCATCATGTCTGACGCCGAACGAGATTCACAGAGCAGCTTCGCTTCGATTCGTTCGACAGATGGCATAGGGGTCTCGGAGAGGCGCATCGATGGCGGCGTCCTTCAACAGAAACGCGGTTCTACTTCAATCTTTCGTCCTCCGAACAGAGCGAGAGGTACGGCGCCTGGAAGACGTGAAGAGGCGGACGAGACAGAAATGTAGCGGTTTGCAGGAGAGGAAGAGATTTAGAAGAGGGGGAACGGAATTGGGTTAAGGAAAGAACGGCTCCATCTAACATTATATTACCGAAATACCCCTACCTCTAAAATTTAACGCCCCGATGCAAGGGGGGTTATCTTTGTGCATGAGGAAAGCAAACAGGGGTGGTTGTTAGTAACTTAGTTTAATAAAGGAAAATATAAATAAATTCATATCTTATACGTGAATTGTTATGAATCACACATGAATCGATGTATGGGGGGTGGGCATCATGCCAATTTTTTCCGTGGATTACAAGGAGTGCTTCAAAACCTAAAATGGCCTTATTATCCTATTTCATTATTTTTTTGTTTTATAGTAAATAATTGAGCTAGTCGAATATTTTTTTAAAAAATATATTATTATTAAGTTATTCTTGATTATTCGAGCTAAAAGCTTATTCCGATCCTGATCTTTATTTCTCGATCTTGGTTTGTTACCAATTTGTTCGACTCTGAGAGTGTTAAGCTTTGTAAAAATTAGGTCGAGAGAGTTCCAACAAATGTCTCTCCGATGCCTAATGTAGTCTAGGATTTGAATGATTGGTAATGAACTTTAAAGTTATATTCAAGTGTGCGGATAACACACGTAAAAAGATTTTATAATAGGCTCTTGGAAGCATTACTCCTGTAATCGACGTTAGTTATGAGGGTGTGTTTATCTTGACTTTGATTATGATCATGTTGTGTTAAGTCTAGTGATACAATAATGGTTTAGTCGATTTGGTAACATGATGTGGATGTGTTGTTTTACATAGAGGTATCGAGCGTGTATCGGTTATATAGTACTAAAGTGTTGATCGTGTTACACAAATGTGTCAAGCACATGTTGATTGCATGGTGTTCGGGTGTCTATTACACACGGTGCTAAAGTGTTTATTCCTGATAGAGAATTTATCAACAATTGACATGCAATCGTCATATAAGACCCATGTCATCCTCCTACGTATACAAAGTATCATAACAGAAAAGCACTAACTTCTTTTTTCATCCATTATGACACAGAAGAGAAATGCAAACTCCCTTCTCTACCTTTGTAACACAATCTTAAATGCTCTTCTCCTCGGACAAGACAACAATAAACTTTCTTTTCATCTTTCAAAAGTATAAAAATATATCCTAAATAAGAAGAAAGGTATCTCCCACCCGGCGATGGTTAAGTATAATACTTTGACTCGATATTTAGAAATTTTAGTTTACTAACTTGAGCGTCGAAGAAACCAGGTCATAATGCCCCACCCAGCTTTGGTCTTTATGCAGGTGATAACCTAAGGAGTATAATACTTTTGCTTTGTTTCATAGCCACTTTGGATTCTCTCGAAGTCATCTTAGATTTACTTCGTATTTACTTTAGACCCTTCTTAGAGCCATTTCAGAATCATCTTGGATTCATCTTAGATCCACATCAGATCTTACTTCAAACACCTGAAAATCACCTCAAATGCACAGTACTTCAAACACCTCAAAATATCATTGATGTTGATCTAAGACATCAACATCAATGATATTTTTTCCTAATAATTCTCATGTCAAATATAAATCAGATTTTATTGTTTAGTAAAATATATGTAAAATTGGTCTATTAATGTCTAAACAATAATATATTTCTTATTTAGATTACGAGAATGCGGCGATGGTTAAGTGGTAGGACGAAGCCGATGTACCTATTTGCACGCGCCACAAGGAAATGAGATCACATCAACCTTTAGTAGCGTCGACTTAAATCGAGAATGATGACCCAATGAGCCATTCTATCTCCGTATACGTCAACTTACGTTAACCTAACTCTCGAATCCATGCCGTGTCCTCATATTAAGAACTCCGGATGTGTGCGGGAAGCCACAGGGTTTGCTCGCCTGCCGTCTGAAGTCAAGGGGGCAAACCCGACTCTCTGCTGATGCAAGTCGAACTCCCAGGAGTAGCCCCTCTGCAGTCTTCTGCCGATGATGGAGCCGTCGTCGGTTAGGTTCGTCTCTCGGATCGTCATGCACTTGCGCCCCTCTCCGTCTTCGTAGAACAGGTTCTCCGCCCTCGCCGCAAGCTGCGCTCCGCCCTTGAGCTCGATCACCAGTTCCGGAATCCGCAGAGGCGACGCATCCAAGCACACGTCCGAGCTCGCAATGGTTGCGTTCTCAGACGAACGGAAGATACGAGAAGACTCAGTTGCAGATGAAGAGAAGCGGACATTGCGATCTTGGAATCCGAGCGTTACGAGGGAAGAAATCTTACAGAAGGGTTTACTGTGTGTTAATCTTTAGGTGGAGTATGGAAATATTATGAGTTGGTCAACGTCGGGGGTATGAACTAAGTTGCGGTTACACTGACATGAGAGAGGTATGATAACGAGGTAATGGAGACGTTAATCGCGTATAGGGTTCTAATTTAACTAAAATCTCCGTCCATTAATTACTCGATAAGTGTATACGCTTGGATTATATTCGACATCCGCTTTCTTTGAAACACCATTGCGTCGCGTCGCGTCGCGCTCGCGGGGATTTTTTATAGTCGTGACTCGCGGCTGTGGCGGCGTGCGCTCGCATCGGTTGGTTGCTGAGTCAGCTGACCATGGTCGAAGCTTACCCAACCGTCACCACCGACGAGATTGGGCCCCACGCCGTTAGCATCCGTTTCCTCGAGTGTAAGCGATGACGCACTCCGGTGGAGTAACCTTAAAGGCGATTATTACGCAGATAGAAAAGACCGACACGGAATGGACCCCCACCATCATCCTGGTTCATAAAACCACCGCCACAACAAACGCGCCCCATCCGTAGCCCAATCAGTGTCGAGGTTTTGCCGCTGCTGCTCTTCTTCGGCGAATCTGCGAGCGGCCGAAGAGAGAGAAAAAGTTCGCCGAGATGTTCGAGCTGTTCGTCCTTGGGTGCACCGGCGTGGTGGTCTTCCTACACGGCGCCAACTTTTTCTTCCGCGCCCTGTCCCACCGTCTAACCGCCCGTCCTCTCAGGTTCCCCCTTTCTCTCTCCCCTGTCTCTGCGTTACGCTACTTTTCGATCGATGAAATTTGCCGCGTTTGTAACGAGTCCTCTCGGTGATCGTATGTATGCCTGCCATGTTTTCTGGTCTCAGCTTCTTGGGAGTCGGGTGGTGGTAGGGCTTCGGTCGCGGAAGAATCCGTGGTGATTCCTCCTCCATGCGCCACACGACTCATGATCTGAGTCTGTCCATGAATTAATCGACGAAGGCGAAGCATGTAATCATTGTAGAAAGACTCACCAACTATAATTTGGTGTCTTTATCGTGAATGGAGATCTACTATTCTACAGTTAAAAGGATTCGTGATCATCCAATCAAATGGTTAAGATGAGATATCAAAGCAGGTTGTGAGTTCTCACAGATGAGTAATTTGGGATTCGATCGACTATTCCCAAGCCAAAACTAGCATTTGTTTCCTTGTGCTCCGTCTGCTAGCAGAAGGGGAGACAGGGGAACACTAGGCTAATAGATTGACCGGGACGAGAGCCTAAGGAAAGAGGAGTTGCTTCGAGTCCCCTGTTTTAGTATATAGACGAAGAAGGAAAAGGACATGAGAGAGTAAAAAACTATGTTCTACTGTGAATCATCATTTAGTAGAAGACTACTACTAAGGAGGACATCTTGCCGTCCTATGGTTTTGTTGGAATGGCTTCCTTGATGAGCTTGAGGGACTCGGCAAAGTCATCCAGGAGCTGGTGAGCATCAGGTATCACCTTGTCGTCAACTGTCACAACCATCTTCATCATGTTCATGTAACTTTGGAAATGAACCGTAAGGGCCTGTTAAAATGATTCACTTAGAAGAAGAAGAAGAAGAAGAAGAAGACGACCTGTTGAGGAGCATACTGTTGATGATACACTTACTTGTGGATGTCCATATACGCTGGGAGCAAGGTAGACAATGGGATGATCATAAAATGCCACTTCTTCCACCGGCCCGATCATATTTGAGAACGACAACGTCGTGTTGGAGAGCACTCTGTGGCACAATGCAGCTCCCGCCTGGTATGTTCACAGGCACATTGACCATGAGAAGACACTCGAGTTGAAGCTTTGAAACGAGTAGCTCCTACCTTAATGCCCAAGCATTTGACGATGAGCTCTCCACTTTTATAGGTGAAGATGGCTTCCAAGGAATTCTTCTTCCGACCTGCAATCTCCTTCCCTTTGCGAATGTAATCCATGGGGTCTTTGTACTTGAAGATTGAAAAGGGTAGGATGATGTACCCGATGTAGTTCCCCCATTTGGTTCCACTGTGTCTTCCCTCCATCAGTTCCGCCAAAGCCTGCTTAGAAACAGGGAACCTCGTCAAGTCCCAAAGAAGACGAAGGTGATTTCGAATCTTAAGATGAGAGAAATGTATACATGGACTCCTGGACTCGGTCTAATGTTAACGAGCAGAGTTGACTGGAGTCGGATGTTCGACGGGAGTTGCGTCTTCTTGCCGTGCTCATCCACGTTCTGACCTAAGAATTAGAAACCGGAGAAGATCTCAGATGGTGAAGGATGGTTGTGTTGCCGACTTACAGACAAGTGCTTGCTTACCGTATCTCCTGCTTAGGTAACGAGACAAGCCCGCGGAGGTGACGCCCACCAGTACATCGTTCACCGTCTGCAACACGATCAAGCATCAGTAGGTGTTGCACGGATGTGTCGTAAATGAAGGGAAAGAAGGAGAGAAGGGCCTACGCAGTGCATGGCGTTCTTGACGTCCTTGATGTCGTCCAGGCTGACGGTGCGGTGCACGATCCGCTTGGGATGGTACTCCACGCCCTTGGGTCCGGTGAGCGGCGTGGTAGTGTCCTTGGAGAAGGCCGACGTAGCCGTGAAGCGGAGGACGTCGAGGAGCGTGTTCCAGGCGAGGATCAGAAAGGCCCAGAGCCACAAGAGGAGCGTGAAAGCACCGCCGGCGTGGAGCTTGCGGGACACGAGCGGGCGCCGGGACTGGTGAGGGATGGTGGGGAGGGAGTGGGGGTCGGATGCCTTGCGGGTGCAGGCGAGGAGGAGCGACATGAGTGAGGTGCCGTCGCCGAGGGAGTGGTGGACGCGGAGGACGGCGACGGCGGCGGCTTCGGAGGTGGGGAAGTTGAGGACGTGGAGGTCCCAGAGGGGGCGAGAGCGGTCCAAGGGGGCGCTGGTGAGGGAGGCGACGTAGTCCTCCACGACCTGGTCCGGGGAAGCGGCGGCGCGGCGTTGGTCCTCCAGGGCCGGGATCACGATGTGGTTCTCCACCACCACCTTGGTCCGCACCCATCTTGGCTCCGCCCCTCCACTCTCCTCCAAAACCTGACACCAACTGAGATTCTGAGATGCCCGACAGAAAGAAAGAAAGATGGAAAAATACTTTTTACCACGACTAAAAATAAGCAACTAATTAATGAGTTTCTCAAGTATAGGAAGGAATTTTTGTTCATTAACAGAAAAAATAAGCTGCGACAAACACTAAGCTAGAAAATGATAGCCTGTTCAGTAAGGCAAAAGTCAGGAACAGCTAGCTAGCTAGCTAGCTACATGGGATCGCCTCCGCCAACAATCTCATCGTTTCCATAAATGAACCATAAATGAACGGTACCATTCGCTACGGTCAATGCTTAACATAACGCCAGCTGGATAATCCAACGATTCGATCATCAAACCCGATACAGATTTTTTGTTTTATCAAGTAGGACAAGTCACATGAATGACGATAAATCGAAGATGAAAAACATGATCCCTATTAGCCGAATCATCGGAGACGAGAGCAGCATGGCTCCAACACCGAAATTAATTCCATTATAATAGATAGCAAAGATAATTTCTATGATCCACGCAATTGGCGTTACCGCGGATTCAGATTAGCTGTTTCAGGTTCAAACAAATACATCCCACCAAAAAACCGTGCTCCCAAGGAATCTCCGTCACAGGAGGAGGAAAAGGGATCGAGGCGACCGTGCGCTTACCGGGACGCTGGAGAAGCGGGGGTGGCGGACCAGCGTGGCCGCCAAGCCGGACCTGATGACGTCGACGTCAGCGGGCTTCCCCAACCCCATGATCGCCACGATGCAGCAGTCGAAGCCCGGCTGGTGGAACAGCTGCGCCGCAGGGCTCAGCGGCTCCTCCTCCTCCTCCTCCACCGCCCTCGCTTTTCCTGCTACGGTCTCCTCCTCTGCAGCTCCACTCGCGGCGCTCCTTCTCCCGATCCTTATCGGGAGCGGCCTTTTCCTGGGCGTCGCCCCGTCCATCGATTCCGAAGCTTGGAGGCTTACGCACGCGAGTGGAGACGGGGGAATTGGGGATACGATGGAAACGAGGCGTCCACCGACTCCACTGCTGGTGTATTGTCCCCGAGGCGTTCAGAGACGAGAATGCCCCCGGATGGGGTCCCGCTTCTCCTACCTCTTATTATTACCCTCCGTCCCGACCTTTTACTTTGAGGGAGAGATACTGGTCTCGAAATCGGGTCCCGCTTGGGGCTACAAACTTCCACCAGTAGTTATGGTGCGTTCGTTTTAATGGTCCCAAAGGACACAGCATCAGATAAGGTCGTGCATCTCCTCCCAACACACACGACTCTTCTTCGCGTCTATCGGTGATTTGTCGTAAGGAGGCTAATCGGTGAGGTTAGGTTACCGTCATACGAACATCCACTAAATCTGAAAGAACTTTAATTAGCATGGAATCTGACAGCAAATCGAGAACGAGGGATGCCAATTCATCGATTGGCAAATCCATGGGATTTGATAAGTGAGATTATTTTGAGGTTTCGAAAAGATTCCCGGTCGATTCGAGTTATTTATGGGTCTCGCAGTTCCCGTCCATTATGGAGTTTCCATGTATTCGGGCGTTGTTATCGTCCATATATTTTTTTTATAATAATAATAATAATAATGATAAAATCTTTTAACAAAGAGACTACAATTTTGGATTGTGAAGACAATTTGTCATGTACCTATCAATCCATCTCCGTAGAGATGGGAAATTAGGCTACGCAAGCTAGTAGAGTCTCAGAGCAAACTAGTATCAGTTCAATTTTGACTTTCTTTTGGGGCTGTAGTCCAAATTGGATTTGTCCTTTTAAATTAATCATGTAATATAAATTATGTGCATTCGTGGGATAAGTAAACCATAAGGACCATAAATGTCATCTAATGGTAGTGATTTGAGTTTATTCTTATTCCGAAGGAAGCAACATTCCATAGCAAAAAAAGAGAACTCACGAATCAGTTCATATTCCTAACCGGGAAACAGCTCGTGAGACGTGCCTAAGATGACATGGCATTTATGATGAACGTGTCTCCCCACTGTTGACATGCCTTGACAAAGTAAAGTGTGCCATGTACCCGACGTGGCCTTCACGGCCAACATATCCCCTCACACTCCACGTGGGATAATCGAACAAAACCTGCAACACACCTAAAATGAGCTTCACAGGGAACATATCTCCCCTAGCTTGATTGATGCTTCTCCAGGCAACACATGTGACAGATTTTTTATAATCTTTATAGCTAATATATATTTAGGTGGTCTAACTAGACAAAGGGTGCATTGTCAATGCATCTTTTTACACTTAATGTGTCATAATCCGTCATCGTGGTTCCTCGCGCTTAATGCATCTTATTTGGGCAAAGGGTGTAAGGCATGTGATGTACTTATTGTAACATTTGTGATCGTCATGTCACGTGTGCTCACATTCTATGCACCCCGTGCGAGTAGATGGATCGCTTGACATATCGAACACAACCTTAGTGGTCGATGTGTTTCCTTATTATTAACATATTCTTATGAGATAATTCATTATATATGTGACGTGCCCAAAACAACCTTTATGGCTAACATGGCCTTCACACAACTTTCTTAGCCAACATGTCTTCTCATCCTATTTAGCTTTCGTGAGTAATACATTTCTTAGTGCTCTATACAATTTATATGTCTTTCGTGATCAATATGTCTTATTATGCTTGATGCATTCTAATTAGACATAGCATATAATATGCGCGATATAGCCTTAACGATCAATAAGCTTCCTCATGCTTAATGCACCATACTTATGATCAATGTATCACATTACTTTTGAGATGTTCTAATGGACACTATAATGTGACCCGCACAACTGAGCCATCTTTGACGTCAACACATCAACCTCATGTATGAAATTTTAGGGTAATCCTTAACTAGTCTTTATTATAAATATAACCGTTGAGATCTTATAATATACATTCCACTCGAACAAAAAGTATATTATCCGAAAACGAAGTGGGGAATTGATAACACAAATGTTATGTATGTATGCAAAATTCAACACATGGTGCACAGTTAACTAAATAAACGACATCAACATGAGTTCGAGGAGCAAATATTTTTTAAAAATATTCCTTAGTGCAAGAATATTTTCTCACTGCTCTATAAATAGGAGCTTTACGGGTATGAATTTGGTGCCAAAAAAAAACTTTAATTTAATATCTTGCATACAACTTTAAATTTGCTTGAGCATCCAAGAGATCGTACTAGATATATCCTGATACTAGTTTTATAGGTGACATTTGTCACGTAAAGGACTTAATCTAAGAGAATTATCATAAAAGAGCATCTATATCCTTAAGGATTTATTTTTAAGAATGCAACAACATTTAGGAAGTAAGTAGCCTCAATCAACTTGACTCCATGACATTTAATTTTGATACTAACAATCATATAAAGTGATTTAAAAAAATCGATTTATTTTATGACATTATACATTTTTATTAATTGACATCACAAAAAAATTGATGATATTATATTATGGAGCTTACTATTTAGAGCCCCATTTTTATTATTTATAACAAAGATGAGTCTAACCCATTCCTCACGTTTGTTTAAACGATTTAATATTTTTAGGTTACATATACATTTTGTAGTAGCTTAAAGATCGTCATCTTTAGGTCAATATTATTGACTCAGAAGAGTTTATATTTTAGACCTTATTAAAGTATCCATAGTATTATCTTATGGGCATTTATAAAATATTCACAATATGATATTTTTTGGGATAATTTAAAAATATTCTTAATATATCATCTTTTGGGTAATTATAAGATAATCAAATGTTCGAATTGATATTTTCGATCTTAACGTTCAGAAGTATAATATTAACTATTTTTTCATTCAAGTGTGTGTTATTAGAAATTAATTATATAGATATTCAACCCATAATGTTTGTTATATTTGTAAGTTTATTTATTATGTAATAGATTAGAAGATATTCTTTTCTCGATCAATTATATTAACTCATAAAATATCTTGTTTTGGACTTTTGTAAACTACATAGAGTATTATCATCTGAGCATTCATAAGATACTCTAAATATGATGTTTACTGTGATGATTTAAAAAAATCTAGAATATATTATCTTTTGAGCGATAATGAGTTCATAAGTCAAAGGAAGAACTCGGGGAGGACGCGCACGGGGGGTCTCTATTCACGCTTGAGATACAAGATCAATACATTACGGCGGAGGCCTAGATGGCCAGGAGGTGGGAGGAGCACAAAAGGGTCAGGCCGGAGCCACCCCGGGGGCAACAACCGAGAGCCGGCAAAGCCCATCGGTGCCCTTCCTGCAAAGCACGTCGCATGAGGCAGGCTAAACGTCACGCCGCCATAAATGAGGCCTGACATGGCAGCCAAAGGGCGCGCAGAGCGAATGTCAAGGCACAGTCTTCTCGATTTCGACTCCCGAGAGCCGGCGACTCTACACAAGAGATCATCCCCTAGGCCCCCGTGCAGACGAAGATGTACTTGGCCACCCGCGTTCACAGATCACCGCATAACAGACTGCTGCTCCGAGCAACTGCTCGACCGCAGTCTACCCGAGTCCACCTCTGCATGGCCAGCCCGCTTGAGCCGTGTCCCTCGGTCGTAGTCTGCTTGAGTCCACCTCTGCACGGCCTGCCCGCCTAAGCCGCGCCCCTCGACCGTAGTCTGCCCGAGTCCACCTCTGCGCGGCTTGCCCGCCTAAGCCGTGTCCCTCGATCGTAGTCTGCCCGAGTCCACCTCTG